TGAAAGTGAGATCTGAAGAATATAAAAGTCAGGCTTTTGCGGATGATTTGGTTTTTATCGTAGAGGACCCCTTAGATTCTAGTTTTACTCCCAAGAGATTGAGAATTACGGTAGAGTTGCAAGTTTCCGAATTAATAAAGAGAAGACGAAGATTATAACAAAGAATATGACATGGAATCGTTGGAATGAATTGGAGAGAGAATTGGGTCTTCAAGTGACGAAAAAAATAAAATATTTGGGTGTTTGGATGTCCTCCAGAAATACATCTATTATGGTAGATAATTATACAAAGTAGTTAGCCCAAACAAAGATAGATCTAGAGAAGTGGGAACACCTGCAACTCTCCTTACTTGGTAGGATAGCCACAATTAAAACCCATGTGCTCCTGAAATGGAATTATTTATTTCAAACTGCCCCCGCGAGATTAGATAGTGGCTTCTTTAAATTGTTAGATAGTTATGTGAGGAAATTTGTTTGGCAGAAGAAGAAGCCCCAGATAAAACTTAAAATGTTTCAAGAGGCACCAGGTGGGGGGGGGATTTGGTTTACCAAAATGGGAGTTTTACTACTAAGCGGCTAATTTAACTTGGATTAGAGATTGGATGCTTTTAAATAGGAAGAGGATTCTTACACTGGAGGGTTATGATTTGTGTCAAGGTTGGCACCATTTTCTATGGAGAGAGAAGGACAAGAAATGTGGACATTTTAAGAGACACTATCTTCGGAGAATTTTATTAGAATCTTGGGAAGGTTAGGAACAGGTATTATTCAATGATCCCAATTTGGTTTGCCCCACTAGAGGCAATAACATACTCGGCATTATATAATAAGGAAACATTATTGACCTATCAAGACTTGCTTGATCCCCAAGGGGAGCTGAAGACCGTGAGGAGCTCACGAACCAGGGCAAGAAGGTAGATTGGTGAGCTTATGCCCAAATACAGTCGAGGGTCAGAAGGGACAAAGGAAAGGAGGGAATCTATAGATCACTACAGGAGCTAGATAAAATCTTACTGGGAACCGAAAAGAAATTACTTTCAAGGTGCTACCAATTCTTGGTATGATGGATAGGTGAGGAGGTGATTAAGGATACCATGATTACCTGGGGAAGGAATCTCAGATTTTCTCCAAATCTGGACAAATGGGATGTGATATGGAACAGGAATATGAAACTTACTGTGGCAACCCCCTACAACGAAAATATCTATAAAATGGTTACCATTTTATATATGGTCTATATTCCCCCGGCAATATATATGGTCTATATTTCCCCCGGCAAGAATCGCAAGAATGTTTCCGGGAGCCTCCCCAGCATGTTGGAAGTGTGGGAATAGTAATGGGACATATTACCACCAATGGTGGACCTGCCCCAAAGCAGGCAAATATTGGAACCGGATAGTGGAAATTACAGGCTATAATATAGAGCTGAAACCAGAAGTTTTTTTATTGGGAATGAAACCAGACAAAATAACTAAGAAAAAATGGTACTTGATCCTCCACATTACTACTGCAGTTAGGATATTATACTTGCAAGAGTGGAAAAGTGAATTAATACCTACAGAGAATAAATTGATTTGGAAAATTTCAGAATGTGCAAAGGCAGATCGGTTAACGAAATTACTTAGGAACCAGAAAGACTCTTGATTATTATGAGTGTTGGAATTTATGGTATATTTGGGTGAAAGAAAAGAGAGGGAAATGAAATGGATTTCAGTAGTGTTTGTATAGATGTATATTTGTGTACATTCGTTGCAATAACTTTGTATGTATATATGTAAAATATTGGTTTTTAAAAATGGAAATAAACTTTATTTTAAAAAAGAGATCCCACCCATTCTTGGGTGCAGGGGGTGGGGTGAGGGGATCAGGGGGTGGAGCTGCCCTACTTACCAGGCCTCACACATCCCAATAACTGCTTTGCCTTGCCAGCCGTCTTCTGCAGCCACTTGCTGCCACTCGCGCATGTCGCCCACAACCTTTGTTTTGCTGTCAGAGGCCCTTCCAGAAAGCCCTCTGCAGCCGATAACAGAGCTCTGGATCGATCTGGCTGCAGAGGGCTTTCCAGAATGGTTGCCTTAAAGGGTGTAGAAAAATACATCCTGGATCAGAAACCACCCACATTAAAAGCCTTAGTTATAAATGCACACATGAAAAAAAATCATTTAAAAAATTGTGATAAATGTGCTACAGATTTGAAGCAGATCTGAATATCTCCAAATTGAAGATATTCAATATGAAATTATCCAGGGTCTACTTCATAGAAATATAGTATCATTTTGAAACATTCTTGTTAAAACTGAGCAGACCATAAAAGAGATTAGTATTCTAGATTTTGCTTAGATTTTGATATGGACAATGAATGTAAAGGTAATGATCTTTTCCAGATCTGTCTCCACATATACACTATGTGCACAATTATTAGGCAAGTTGTATTTTTGTGAATTAATTTTATTATTGAATAACTACAGTGTTCTCAATCAATCCAAAATGTTAATACATCTCAAACCTGAATATTTAAAAAAGTAAAAGTGAGGTTTTGGCTTTTAGGAGAATACGTGCGCACAATTATTGGGCAACTATTAGTGTGCAGAATTATTATGCAACTAAATGAAAAATGAAAATTTTCCCATCTCCTTTATTTGCATCTGTTAAAGTGAGAATAATAAAACAACTCAAAATGTAGAAATAAACATTTCTGACATTTCAGAAAACAAATCATTGACCAATATAGTCATCTTTCTTTTCAATTAATGGTTAAAAGTCTTCCATTCATGGAGTCTGACAGTTTCTTGATCTGTTGAAGATCAACTTTTTGTGCAGCAGCAACACAGCTTTCCGGACACTGTTCAGAGAAGTGTACTGTTTTCCTTCACCGTAAATCTCCCATTTAAGAAGGGCCCACATGTTCTCAATAGGGTTTAGGTCAGGTGAGAAGAGAATCAGAATAAAGCTGGAAGGTCTCTAGTCCAGCCCCCTGCTGAAGCAAGAGATCCTATACCATTTCACACAAGTAACTGTCCAGTCTCTTCTTAAAAACTTCCAGTGATGAAGCACCCACAACTTCTGAAGGCAAGAACCATGTCATTATTCTTTCATCTTTAAGGCCTTTACTGGCTATCCATGCACTGGAGTACTTCAGTGCATGTGATGGAGCATTGTCCTGCATAAAAATCATAGTCTTCTGAAAGATGCAGACTTTTTCCTGTATCACTGCTTGAAGAAAGTGTCTTCTAAAAACTGGCAATAGGTTTGGGGGTTGTTTTTGAGTCCATCTTCAACCCAAAAAAGGTCCAACTAGCTCATCTTTAATAATAGCCCATACCAGTACCTCACCTCTACCTTGCTGGCATCTGAGTCAAAGTGGAGCTCTGCGCCCGTTACTGATCCAGCCATGGGGCCATCCATCTGGTCTGTCAAGAGTCACTCTCATCTCATCAATCCATAAAACCTTTGACAAATCTGTCTTCAGATATTTCTTGGCCCAGTCTTGCCGTTTCAACTTATGTGTCTTGTTCAGTGGTGGTTAGGTTTCATCCTCTTTTTTTTTTTTAATTTGATTTATATGCCGCCCTTCTCTGAAGACTCAGGGCGGCTTACAATGTGCTCAGCAATAGCCTTCATCCTTTTGTATATTTATACAAAGTCAGCTTATTGCCCCCACAAACTGGGTCCTCATTTCACCTACCTTAGAAAGGATGGAAGGCTGAGTCAACCTTGAGCCTTGGCGAGATTCGAACCCTGCAGTAATTGCAGGCAGCTGGTCTTAATAAGCTTAATAACAGGGTGCCTTAAACCCCTGTACTACCAAGGCTCTTTGCCTTGGCCTTGTCTCTCCTTACCTTGGCCTTGTCTCTGGGCACTGAACATCTTGTACTTCTGGGCACTCCAGGAAGGTTGCAGTTCTGGAATATGACAGCACTGGAGGATAATAGGTTCCCGGTAGCTTCACGTTTGATTCTTCTCAAATCTTTGGCAGTTAATGTGTGTCTTTTTTTCTCAACATGTTTCTTGCAACCCTATTTGCAACAAAACATGATGGTTCTGTAATTATGCCCCAATATCTTAGCAATTTCAAGAGTGCTGAATCCCTCTGAAAGACTTAACAATTTTTGACTTTTCAGAGTGAGTTAAATCTCTTTTTGGCCCATTTTGCCTGAGGTAAAGAAGCTGCCTAATAATTATGCACACCTTGATATAGGATGTTGATGAACTTATGCCACACCTTCCCTCATTACACAAATACACATCACCTGATACGTTTATACTCAATAAGCATTCAAGGTTATACAGTTTGGAGGTGGAAAATTGCATAAAAATGATGATATGGTCAAAATAGTCACTTGCCTAATAATTGTGCATACAGTGTAGTTAAAAACATAACATATTTAATGGGGCTCATTTGCTGTAAGATAAAAAGGCATCTTTTAGTATTTTTTTTTCATTTGTTTCTGGACTCTGGACTAAATGCTTGTTTTTTTGTCAGGAAGCAACAGAAAAGTTCATTGATCTGGAATTTGCTGCAGATGTATTTTTAAATTTCTGAAATTTTTCATACTTTAATAAGAAAAATGGGTCACATTGGTTTCAGGTGGAGTTCCGAAACTTCCCTTTTCTGTTTCAAAAAACTTCCCTTTTCTGTTTCCTTTATAAAGCTTTGGTCATTATTTTTTCTATATCCAATATTGTTTTTTTTTTTACTAAATTTGTTGTTTTTTATTTTTCATTGTTTATAGTTTTTCATGTTTTCCGTTTTTTTTAAGTTTGCCCTGAATGAAATTTCTTTTCTTTTCCTTTGACTTGCAATTTTTTAAAATAAACAGTTCTTATATCCATGTCATCTTTAATTATTTCCTGCTACATAGACAGTATTACATATTCTTTCAAAGGAAGACAAAATATACAAAAACAACCCTGAACTTTTTTTTTGGTCATTTATCTGTATCTGTAAATGTTGAATAAAATGGATTGTTTTGTTTTCTTCTCCCTTCATACTTTTGTAGGTTTATCCTTCATCCCAAAGAAGTAATTCACAATCAGCTCTTAGAAAAACAAAAAATAGCAGAAGAAAAAATTAAGGAACTGGAGGTACGTTTGGAATATCTAAAGTGATTGTATGCATGAATATGTATAAATATATGTATTTTGCATTCTTTATTCTATATGGTTAATCTGTATGAAGTGCCTTTGCAGGATGGAAGTTTCAGTTACCAGTATTTTTTATAGTCATCTATAGTATATTATCTACTTACAGATTGCCTATTGCTGGAAGGTGATAATAGTTATTTGAATGAATTTTGGAATAAAATGAATACTCTATAGAAATAAAATATAAGCGATTAATAATCTCAAAGAGCGTTAAGTATCGTTCATATGATAAGATTAATCAAAAGAAAATACTATGTGTGTGGGATCCTCAGAGAAAGTTTAGAAAAAGCTCTTGTTATGCTGGTAATGTAAAACAATTTACATGTGTGAGTTATGTGAAAAACAAGTGCACCCCATGCATTTTTTAAAATACATCTGTGGACTTACTAATACTTTATCTTCATTCAAACAGTATGTAAAGATAAAGGTGATGTAGTTGAACAAAAGAATTATGAAAATTAGCTCTTCAGTAATTTATTCATCAAAAAATTAACACATGTGTTAGTAACTTTGTTACATGAGTATAATAATATAAACTGCTCCAATTAGCCTGTTTAATCTAAAACCAATGTTATATGGTTTTGGAAAACATAAGATTCAATGTTCTTAACATGTTCTATCATATTGCCTTTATTAAAGAATTTTGAATTATAGAGCTCCAAAATATATAGCAAAGATAATTTTGTTAACATTGTTACTTGTTAATTTTCAGATAGTTGATGTAAAGTAAATATCCATCTTTTTCATAACTAAAAGTTAATAATTTGATTGGATTAGTATAGGAACTTTCCCTCTGTGGTATTTTAGTGCAAATGTTAACATTGCTAATTCTGGAAACATAAGAAGAAACCTCTCATCAAAGACAAAGTGCTCAATGCTCTTGAGAGTTTTCTAGCTCCTCCCCCCCCCCCAAGATCTTATTTATTGTATGCTGCCTCATATACTTTAGAAAGTATATGTAATTTTACTTACCTGCTCCCACAACAGTTTTTTCTTTTTCTTTTCCCTTAGCCCATTGAGGAGTGAGGATCAGAAAATGGACATCTCATAACCATAGGAGCTCTATTTTTATAGTGTAGCGTAACAGAATCTTGAAAGCTTAGTTTGCTGTTCCTCTCTCTTATTGAAGAGAGTTAAGGCAGAGCAATTTTGAGGTTCCTCCTCATCTTCTCCTGCCTCTTTTTGCTAAGTTCATGTTTTCTTAATGGCTGCTATCCCTACCCCAACCCGTAACCCGTACATACCAAATGCCAGTCAGTTAAGAGCCAGTTGTAGAATAGCTCTTCTAAATTCTTTGAGATACCTTATCTTCTTAATTCATCTCTCATTTCATCAACAAGTCTTTGGTCTCTCAAATCCAAATAATGCTATTCATCTTTGGTAAATAATTAAAACTTAATATGGATTAAGAACACTTTGATTACCTTGTTTCAGCTTGCAAAACTCTTAATTTGCTGTTGCTTTTCTGCCAAATATTCAAAAGCAGCTCTGAGATTTTGCTTGAAATTTGGATCATTTCCTTCTGTGAGGTGCACAGTAAATTTGTCTGCCCTTTCTTTTAGCAGACTCAAAACACAAGTAATTTTGATGAAGTCTATAGGAAATTTTGCAAGTCAATCTGACATGTATAGTTCACAGTGAATTGTGAAAGTCAGAAATTGTTCCTGGGCCTCTTTGGTAAGTCCCTGTGAGAATACAGAAATACCGACTTGGCTTCTGTTTGCTAAATTGTTCCTTACTGAAACAAGCCCTGTCCCAAATGCTATTAGTTGTACCATTGCATTATGCAAATTTATCATTTGTATATCCACTTCTTAGTCTTGATCACTAGAAAAACAGCCAATGAACTTTGATTTTTTTAACATACACATAAGCATCATGACTATAATTCTAAAGGGAAAGAGGTTTGTTTTGAGCAGCCTGAAAAATAGTAGTTGTTAGAAAAATATATTTTAAAATCTTTTATTTTAATAAACATAATTGACAAGTAAGCAAAATATAGTTTGAAGAAAGTTATCTAATTTTATTTTGTATTTAAATGTCATATTTCAGGGAAAACAATGTGGGATGCTCTAAGGACAAGGAAAATATCAATTCATCCTTATGAAAGGAAGTGATTAGGGCTGTGTGTTTTTATTGTTAGTGGGAGATAATTTCTCTGTTCTGTACTATTCTGAGCTTGTTTAGTTGCTGGGTGTTCTCAGACTAGGTAGCTAAAAATAACAAACAGAAGGAGGTTGCTATGAGATGGCTGTAACTTGCTGGATTGATTTTGCAATGTGAAGGAGGTTCAACCTTTGGCATTTTTGATAAATGGTTTTCCTGTTTTTTTGAATCTTTTCATGTTTGAGAGTCTCATTATTATTTATGCTTCTTATGTACAGAAGTGATAAAGCTAAGAGCACTTTACTCTTTAACCAGAATTCTTGTACTATGAAACAATAGGAAAGATCTCATTCTTTCTATGTTGCTTTGAAACTGTTTTTGCCATGATAGTTCCAGCCTATGGATATAATTAATAGTATTTAATTACCGTATTTTCCGGCGTATAAGACGACTGGGCGTATAAGATGACCCCCAACTTTTCCTGTTAAAATATAGGGTTTGGGCTATACTCGCCATATAAGACTGCCCCTCTTCCAATGCACACCAAATAAAAATTAAAAAACATCAACTGGCTCACCTACAATGTAAAAGCAGCTGTGCTAGACCCAAAATGGCCCCTGTAACAAGCAGGAACCTCATACAGCCACAAAAAGTCCAAAAAACCAACTTTCACACTTTACACACACAAAATTCCACATACAGCTTTGTGAGATTTTGTGTGTTTGTGTAGTTGGAGTGAAACACTACAGAAACACACTAAATCTCAGAAAGCTGCACAAATATTGTTTTATTTTATTTTATTTTTATATGAAAGCTAAATTTAAAACTTCCTAAACTTTAAATGGCTAGGTCTAAAAAAGAACAACTAAAAAAACCCCAATTGACTATTTTTTTTAAAGCTCCCAAAGGGGAAAAAAACTTACCCAATAGAACAGGGGTCTCCAACCTTGGCAACTTTAAGACTTGTAGACTTCAACTCCCAGAATTCCTCAGCCAGGTTTGGTTTGCTGGCTGAGGAATTCTGGGAGTTGAAGTCCACAACTAACTCCTTGCTTGATTGCAGGCAGGGAGTTGCTTGTTGCCTGAATAGATTCAGGCAAGCAAAGCAAGGCAAGCGTTGCGACTAGCAGCTGAGGTAAGCAAGCTGGAGGGGGGAAACTTTTTCCCTTTTACGTGGTTTCTGGCGATCCCAGCTGAGTTGCAGGGAACTCAGCTGGGATCGTCAGAGCTGGGATCCTCAGAGTAAAAGGGAAAAAACTTTTTTCCTTTTACGTGGTTTCTGGCGATCCCAGCTGAGTTGCAGGGAACTCAGCTGGGATTGTCAGAGCTGGGATCGCCAGAGCTGGGATCGCCAGAGCCATTTAAGGCTCGTCAGAGCCTTTCGGGCTGGTCTGCCTGGTTACAGGAGAACTACACCCGGCGTATAAGACGACCCCCGACTTTTGAGAAGATTTTCATGTGTTAAAAAGTCATCTTATACGCCGGAAAATACGGTATACTATTCTAGATTTAAATTTGCTGCTTATGCTTTACCGTAAGATAGGTACCATATTTTATTAAATGATTTGAAGTAATAAAAAGTGTCACATATCCACATAATATCTTTGTTATTAACTTTTCTCTGTTATGGCTATAATTTCAAGTAAAATAAGAGCATGTATTATTGAGAACTAGTGGGTGAAGATAATTATTATACGCAGCAATGTGAAATCACAGCTGCCAGATCTTTTATCTGCTGTTAGCCTTCATATACACTGAGTTCTTTCCAAGAATCTAGGATGTCAGAATGTAAGTATATTTGCAGTGCCAAGCCGTATAGCCTTTTGTAATTGACAGACTGAAATTTTGTCAGCGTGCAGATATTCTGAGTGCTGTCTGAAATTTTTGGAATGGCACACAGTGAGACCACCGTAGCTGGTTTCTTTCAGTTTTGATTTTTACTGTGTTTCCCCCCAAAAAAGGACATGTCCTGAAAATAAGGCCACGCCTGATTTTTGGGGTGGGCCTAAATATACGCCCTCCCTTGAAAATAAGCCTCCCCTCTCTCACACACACACACACAGGTCCCTCACCCCCCCAACCCTCCCAAGGGAGCCACATCCCTGCGAACTCCTGCGCCCCTTTCGCCAGTTGCAGCACTGACCGTAAAGGAGCAGCTTGCTCCTGCACGATGGTGATGGCCCGCCCACTCTTGCCCCCATGCCCAAGCGCCGCGTCTGCATAGCCCGCGCTATGGAGTGCCTGCCACAGCAGGCCCCAGCGCAAGCATCGCTGCCCCAGGGCTTCCTTGGCAGGGCGGCCACCAGCAGCAAAGAGGCCTCCATGTCTGGTGGGCAGTCGCAGAGGACTACAATGGCAGGCCTGGCGTGTCCCGCAGCTGGGCACAAGTCTCAGCGGCGATGGCTGGAACGCTGCAGGTGTTGCTGTTGCCACCACCTGTGGACACCCGGCGGTCCCCTACGGCCAAGCTCAGCCACAGATGAGGAGCATTAGCCATGGCTGGGTCGGCCGAGCTGTGTCTGTTGTGGCTGCCCTTGGCGCAGCTACCCGGTGTCTCGCGCCGATTGGAGAGGAGAGGAGCAGGTGGGAAGGGGAGGCCTCCAGCGACCGTCACCATAGAGTGGGAAGCACACTCCTAGAGCAGCCGCTGCCCTGGCTGGGATTTGGAATCCACAGAGGCAGAGTTTGGGGGAGAGAAAGAAAGACTGCTTCTGCTTCTGCTGCATGACCGTATAATGCTTTTTCTTGCCAGCATTCTTTTTTTGTTTTTAATAGATTATTTCAATATTTCATGTCTTGTTTCCTGTACATTCAGTAAGTTCTAATTTTTAACT